CATCTGTAAAACATGGTGGAGGCTCTGTCATGGTTTGGGGCTGAATTTCAGCCGATGTTGTTGGAGATCTTGTCAAAATTATGAACACAGGAAAGTATCATCACAGTTTGATACACCGAGCAATACCATCGGGCAACAGTTTCATTTTTCAGCTTGACAATGATCCCAAACACACTGCCAATGCAGTAAAAGCATATATAAAAACACACAGTGGAACAGTATTAGTCATGGATTGGCCTCCCCAGAACCCGGACCTCAACATTATTGAAACCGTGTGGGATCATCTTGACAGAGAACAGAACAAAAGGCAGCAACATCCAAAGAAGAGCTTTGAATGTCCTTCAAGAAGCCTGGAGAACCATTCCTGAAGATTACTTAAAGAAATGACAAGAAAGCTGCCTAAGAGAGATCAGACTGTGCTGAAGAATAAAGGTGGTCGTACCAAATCTTAACTTTCAAGCTGATTAGAATTATACAAACTCTGTTTTGTATTATATACTGTATTTACATGTATGTTTGCATATGTTTCAATAAATCTCTGCACCCATTTTCCTAATTAAATATAAAGAAATTAACACTTCTGAACAGTGTTGTGTTTTGTTGTTGTTGTTGTTAAACAAACAACAATAAAAAACACTGCAGTTTAAACCAGAACAAAGTTGATTTGGATGGATGCAGTGAAGGTGAGTTATCCACACTCACTGACAGCTCGGGTTCGCAGTCATGCAGTTTGAGTTTCTCCACCTCTCTCTTGTCAAATCCCACATAATGTTGTGGCGTATGTGCTTGTTTCAGGTCAAATCAATACAGGTGAGCAGATCACAGCCCGTCCACACAGATACAATTTCAGCATGTCTTAAAAGATAAGACAGTTTGGGTAGTTAATCTGCGGTATCAGTAGCAGTGATATAAAAGATCTTGGGGTTCTTCGATCTATACAACTGTGCAAACTCTGAAAACTTCCAGTTGAAAAATGCAAATGTCCTATAACCACCGTTTTCACTGCTTCTTACAATCTCAAATATCTTTTAAAAACATCCAGAGCAGAGCTTTACTGCCCTCTGAATACATATCTAACAGTTAATCAGTAAATATGTAAACAGCACATGTAAATGCTATTCTGTCTAAATTCTTTATATATAGAATATAATGTGAAAGTGTGGTAAACAATGAAGAAGGTGCATTTTAAATTTCCTGGTGGAAAATCATTGGCAAACACTTTTCTTTCTGTCCACGTATCTAAACACTTTGTTCCTGGTGTTTAGGAGTAGAAGGATATTAATGTGCTTTTTTTCACTTTGACAAATTGCTGTTTGTTGGTACACCTACCCCTTTCCTTCCATGTTCCTCGCCTCTCTCTTTATAAATAGTAGATTACACACACTCATGCACAGATAGAACAAAAACTCCCTCACCGGGTTCGGACAAAGCCAGCACTCCTCGCTCCGGTGCGTCTTTACTGATCTCCTCCTCCTCCAGCTGGTATGAATCGAAGCTGTAGCTCTGCACAATGCCGCTCTCTCTTCCCTCTCTCCAGCCCTCCCTCCAAACAGATCTTCCTCCATCCCTCCACACGTCCCTCTCCTCGGGCGT